GAATGTGGTCTATTCTTGAAAAAGATCCATGTGGACTAGAAAAGAATGGTGTTCACCAATTTCTAATTCCAGTTCCATATTGAACTTTTAAAATAAAATAATCAAAGTATGAAAATACACAAACATAGACATACACTTTCGTTTGTCAGCTGGTAAAATAAGGGCTAGTGGGGAAAAAACATGACAGAAAGTAGCATTAGGACCTTAAAGAATTTTCATTGATTCTTTCTCCTTTCATCCCTTTTATTTGTTGTTCTAGACACAACAAGCCTTAGACATTTGATTTGAAGGTTTTTATAAATATATCCAGGTAACAAAGTTGAGAATCCCTTTTAAATAATCTTAATGGATTCCTGTCTTGAAATTACTAGCCTTGTGATTTAATTATCTAGAGTACATACAGCAACTACAATAGAAAGGATTGCATCCCAGCCTGGGTTATTGGTTGCTTTGGAAGAAGATACCCAAACGTAAGCAACACATTTCTTTCCAAAGCCGCATTTAAATTTCAGACTTCAACTGCAGTTATGATTGGTTTTAGTTCATTAGCTGCCTGGTGTGTTATTTTAAGAAAGCAGAAGCACCGTCATTTGCAAACTCCCAATAGATCACACACCTTAACCCTGATCTTTTAGCTCTAGTTTTTCAAGAGAAGTGAAGGCAAGATGAGGAATCATTTGCTTTTCTGCGGAGTCCTGGCCATTTTTGTTCAAGCTGTTCTTGTGACAGGTATGTGGTATTTAGAGATGAACCTAAATAAAAGTAAAAATTCAGTACAGAGCTATTCTTCAGATCAAAGCATTTATGGTTGTGTTTTGCTTGGTCAGCTACCCAGTCACATTTTTCTAACATGTCTTCATCTTTGTATGGGCAGCAATCTTTACATAGGCACAACTTGGGCATGATTCTTTCTATGTTTTCCTCTTATTTGTTTGCCTGCTTCATCATAAAGAACCAGAACATAGATGTTTCTGGATGACTATAGATCGCCATATTTATGGGTCTCTGTATTGAGTCTTGAAAATCAGTAATTCTCCCTTGGGTCTATTAGTATTCTGGAAGAGTGAAGTAATAATTACAGTAGGTACAATGCATTGCGATTTTATTTCCCCAGAGAGGCTGACATTAATTCTAATAGTTCTCAGGGATTGGAACCCTCAGTTTTGCTATGATCCTTTAACAATGTTTAATGTTATACTCGTTTATAACTTGATGACTAAACTTTAGTTATTTTGCATATGGAACTTTTAAGTAACCAGAGAAAATGGTATACATACTAAATCTAGAAGTACAGTATTAAATAATTTCAACTTAGAAAGCCACACAAATTAAAAGAGATATAATTCAGCTGGCTTAATAATTTCTGATGTAGAATTTATTGTTTTTATTTCAAGAATGAGCATGATTGAAATGAAATTAAGATAGTCATTATACATATATATATATTTATATTAACAACATTAAGAATCTACTTTCAAATAAGATTGAAATATGTATATACATAAATACATTATAAAATATTTATACATGAACATATTTGTTAGACAAACACACATAAATCCATATACAGTAATTCACATTTGCTGAATACTGTGTGGAACCTTGGTGGTTTCTGAACTTGGCTGCTCACAGTACCGTCAGCAGTTTGCACCCAGCAGCTGATCCACTGGAGAAAGATGAAGCTGCTTTCTACTCTCATTAAGATTTATAGCGTGGGAAATCCAAAAGGGGCAATTTCATTCTGATCTAGAGGGTCACTGTGAGTTGGAATTGACTCCATGGCAGACAGTTTGATCTTCTTTCTTTCTTTTTCTAGGCGCTGGATTAGCTGCTCTAGATATACTACTCCACTTAATTCTCACAAGAGCCATGTGAGGATACCAAAACCCAAGCCCACTATCATCCAGTCAATGCTGCCTCATTGTGACCCTACATGACGTTTCCGAGGCAGTAAATCTCTCTCTCTCTCTCTCTTTTTTTTTACTGCTTTACCTTTTATGATTTTAAGCTTAATTTATTCCTGAGCCATGAGTTTTTGCTTCTTCAGTTTCTTCTGGGAAATCTTTTTCTTCTGTGCAACCTCCTCTTCTGGTTTGGGAAGATCTGTTCCTTCTCAGTCAGGATCATGTCAGTGTGGCAGGGGGAGCTCATGGATTGGTTGATCCGACCGTGAGCTCTGTAAGTCCGGTGGGCATCGTGGGGGCTTTGTTCACCTGGGTGTGCTCAAGGAGCAGAGAATCCACATCTAAACCCTTCTGTTCAGCAAGACTTTCTGCATTTTTAGGCACGTGAAGCAAAAATTCAGCCCTCATTTTGGGCCACCGGCCCTACCAACCCCACCCTTGTAGCGTCGGAAGGGCAGACCCCGCTTCTGCACAGCCACGTCTTTCAGGTGTTTGGCGGCTTTCCGGATGTGCATGCCTGTGATGATCGTCCGGGCAGTTTCACGGGGGTTCTTGAAGTGGACCCGGAGGTTCGACCCTCTTCATTTGCAGGATTATGTGGGGTTTTCTGAGTCAAGTGAGCAGCGAACCATTTTGGCAGGTCACCTCTGGCCGCTACAGTTAGAACCGAGGCTGTAAATCTTGATGGGCACAGAAAGCATCATCGTGCTCTCCAGAGAGCTTTCAGTTAACAGTCTAATGCATGGTCAACAGCACAACCAGAGCTCCTTGTGGGAAGATCCTCCCTCCCTCCCTCCCTCCCTGTCGTCAAGTAGATTCAGACTCCTGTGAGGATATGTACTTTTATTATCTCCAGCAGAAGGTTGAGGCAGTTAAACAAGTGCCTGACTTGTCAAAGGTCAATGGCAAAAAAGAGATAGAACCGAAACAATCTGAATTGATAGCTCATCTTCCTAATGACTGCCCTCCTATTCCACCTGAACAAGGGAATTATCTTTTAGCAAACTCATTTGTCATATCTAGTACATGTTATTAAGTCTACTTCCTCATTTGTTTGACCAGAGTTTAATCAAATATTTATTGAGTACGTGCTGTGTCTCAAGTGCTCTGGGGATAAAGTCAAGCAGAGTACATAATAATAGGTTTACTAGGGAAAATACTGCCTGTGAGGGTGGATGTTAAAATCCTATCCATTCTGGCAAACTGAAAGCAGTAGTGTATTTTCTAACAGAAATATCAGACTGCCGACGTTTGTCTAATAGTAATGATAGCTTCTCCCTGGGGTCCTAGGAAGGAAGGAAGTCATCTGGCATTTTCTATTTAAGACTTTACGGCCAAGTCACTTCCTTAAGGGTGAATCTAGGATTTGGGGTAGGCATTTGTACTGTGCTGAGAAAAGCGTTGAAGACTCAGAACATTAATAAGAGTTTTATTATTATTTTAATTGACTTCATGATGTTTCTTCTTTAATACCATACAGAAGAAGTTTGTCAGAAGATTTAGTAAGAACTTACCAATAATGGCATGATAACACATTATGCAGTACGTGAAACAATGATAAGTGTAGTAGTGGTTTTAACATATCTTTGTAATGACTGTTCTCATTAAGACAGAAACATTGCAATGAGGTCCTCTCTGCTTTGGGAATCAGCTCAGGAACAATTGGACTTCCAGTTACAAACAGTTTTTCCTATCTAACCTTTATAACTGTAGTGCATTTGCTAAATCTTTTTCTTATTAATTGAGGTTTTCTGAGTGACATTATAATGTCATTTTGCTAAAATTATAAGAATTAAAAATACTTATCATTGTAATTATTTACTTAGTACTATTAAAATAAAGATAATATTAACTTTCTAAATATCTAAGTATTCAAGGATCTAAGTCAGAGAATAAGTTTTCTTTCTTTTTATTTGAAACATTTACCACACCCATTTGTCTAAGGTTAAAAGTCAACAATAAAAGATTAGACATTCAAAGTTAAGGCTCAATCAGTCATTAATAAGTTAGTTTTTTTCTATATGAGGACATATTATAGTGACTACAGATTGTTATCCTCAATATTATCTAAACTTTCTTTTGTAAATTTGTAATGCTTTACCTCTGTGCACATGCCATATTTGAAAGAATTCTTATAAGAATTTTTAATAAATGTAGCACTTTTAAATTTTGTTGAATCATTATACCATGATAACCTGATTCATATTATGACAAAGAAGATTATAATTCTGTTTAGGAAAGTTGTAGTGAAGACTATATAAGTCTTATATAATAGGATTATCCTAGGGTAAAACATGCCTGTTCTTAGCTCTAATTCAATTGAAGAAGGAGTTAAAAAAAAAAAAAGGAGAGATGGGAGTTAAGTCAGTTGTCTGGGAAAAGTCCAATGTGATTTCTGCTTTTTCTCTAAGTTTGGCATTTGACAGTGGTTTTTCCAAGTCTACATTATTCAGAACCTTTGTCTCTATTAGAAGCACGTGTCTCCATTAGAACCAGCATTCCCTTGGCCTAGGTTCCCTTGTACACTGGATCAAGGGGGGAAAGCAAAAGAAAGAATGAAAGAAAGAAGAGAGAGAGAGAGAGAGAGAGAGAGAGAGAGAGAGAGAGAGAGAGAGAGAGAAGGGAAGGAAGGAAGAAAAGAAAATTCTTTTTAGAGTTCAATTGGATTTTTTTCACTACACTATAAGATTCGCCTTATTTTTTTTATTGTAGTGAAATATACAGATAACAAGTCATTGCCATTTCAACCATTTTTATGTGTTCAACTCAGGGACATTATTTACGTTCTCGATGCGATACAGCCATCACCACTGTCTGTTTTCAGATTTCCCCCTATCCTCAACAGAAATTTGGTACCTGCTTAAGAACTACACCTCATCCCCCTCCTACCTGCCTGACCTGGTAATCAGTAATGTGCTTTGGCCGTTATGCTTTTGAGACACCCCTTTTCGCTCATTATTAGAGAGGCAAACACACAGAAAGCCGATTCCGACCAACCTTATATCACTTTCTTTTTCCTGACGACGAAAGAGCTAATTCAAAGTATACAAATAACATTTTATTTCCCTTTCTTCTTCATATGTTTGGCCTTTCAAGCCCAAGACAAAGATGAAGGGACTGTTCTTGTTGACAACAAGTGCAAATGTGTCCGAGTTACTGCCAGGAGCATCCCCTCTACAGAAGATCCTAATGAAGAAATTTTGGAAAAAAACATCCGGATTATGTATGTGACATTCTTTATTTCGCCCCCCCCC